TCATAATAAAAATACCAACAATATATTTTTATATAAAAATTTACCAACAATACATTTTCATAGTAGAATTACCAACAATACATTTTTAAAGCAGAATTACTAACAATAAATTTTATAGCAAAATAACCGAAAATACATTTTAACTGTGGTTGAAGCCATAAAACTATGTTCAAAGTATTTAGATTTTGGCATTAAATGACCCATAGATGTTGATATGGCACTAAAAATGAAACAGCTGACATGAAAGTACTCTTTCCAAATATTATTCCAAAATATAACTTCAACAAAACTATAACTTAAAACACACACATTTCACTGCCTCTAGTAATTATGTTCACACAAGCATGTACATGCACAGAAGCTGAGTATCATCTACCATGTATTCAATTGTGAAAGCAGAATAACATCATATTTTTATTACTTCAAAACCCCCAAGAAAATTTCAGCATTAAATGACTTAAGGAGTTGATATGCCATTAAGCAAATCAATAAATCAATCTTATAAATGAAAATAAGTAATAATAAAGTAATTTTAACAAATGTTCATCATCCTTATTGAAAAAATAAATATTTTAAAACTTCTCTGCTATAATTTTCATAGTTTACAAAAACCTACCATTGTAATTTTACTCCTTAACTATTGACTTTTTTTTATTTCTATTTTTGAATATTCTAACAAAGATCTTAACATTTCAAAAGTTTATTCTAAATAACTAGTTTTGTTGAAATCATTCTATTATCATAATATTATTTTCAAAGATGATCTCAAGCTTTATATTACCAGTCTGACAAAAATGTTAAATAGAAAATATATTTTGAGTAAAAATGAACTAATCAGCTGAGGTGATTGTTGTTATTTACTAAGCAGTTTATTTTTGGTGCTGTGACACAAATATGGTCACCCAGTAAGGATAGATCTCATTAGTAATGATCTGCTAAACAAACTTTCTGACAAAGAACCTTCATGATTGTAAACTCTAAGTGGTTTAGTAACTGGTTAGTAATAATAATATTTTTATACATCTGTATGGCTGAAGTGGGCAGATAAACAAATGGACCATTTTGCTTTGCATTAAGGCAAACCCCAAAAAGTTTTGAAGAATTCTTGCTTTTTTTTTGTTTGAGGATTGATTTGATTCTCACAATATAAATAATTGGCTCTAAATTATTGTGATGTTTTCAAATTAGGAAAAATCAAGTCTGTAGAACAGAAAAAATATGAAGAGGATGAAGGTATAAGAATTTTTTTTTTATTCAATTTCCAGTTCACACTTCTCCCCAGTTTTTTGAACTGGATAACCTCTAGGTTTATTCTTTGTTCCCTGTTCAGAATTTGGTTTCCGGTAACTTCTAATATTTTTTCATTCTCTTTCACTCCCAGTAGCCACTTGTATTTTAGTGACATTGTTGCTTTGTTTGGGTAAATTTAGCATCAATAAAGAAATGTTTGGTTTTAGGATAAATGTCCAAAATGAAAAGCAGAAAACATAAGTAACTACAAATTGAGTTCATTTTGTTTACATTGGTCACTTCACAATTGCCATTAAATGGGAAATAAAAATTCCTTTTACATGGCTATTCTTCTTCAGAATACATGCAACCCCCCCAAAAAAAACAGAACAATGCAAAATGTAATTAAAACTTCCAAATTTAGAAGCTATTGAAACAAAAAAATGTTTTTATAATAGACATAATAATAATGTATGAATGCTAAACATTCAACTATTTTTATATATCTATGTGGATATTTGTTTCTATTCAAAAAGTTAGTTAAGCATATATGTACATGGTACAACTTATAATCATTATACATTAAATAATTTGCATAAATATATTTACATTTATTATCTTTATCAGAATATTTTTACTTCTAAATTTGACAATATTTTCCTTTAAACATTTTAATGATTATGATTTTTCAAATCTATATTGTTTTCTATCAGTGTTGTCTAACACTGCTGAGAATATTCAAGATCTTAAACACTTTCAAAATTTGTTTACATTTGTATTATGTATTAAAGTTTTTTAATATTAATTAAAATCAATTTCAACCAGGTTCTGAATTTCAGTGAAGTAAAAAACACAATTTAAAACCTCTATTTTATTATTAGTGGGTCCTTAAATTCTAAATGCAGTTTTTTTTTGTTAAGATTAGAGTGATACTGACTGCTAGAAGATGGCTTAACAATATTAGGAATATTATTTAATATGTAGATATTATTTTATTGTATTATTAACAATACAGATTTCCATGCAAGTACATGTAATGAATAATAAGAGGTGAATAAACTTTGGTAAGCTTTATTCAACTTTAATACAGCTATAAAAAAGAATTACGCTAGTATATTTATAAGCTTATGTGGAGTCGTCCATTACACAAACAAGGGGGAGCAGGTTGTGGGAATTACTTACAACAGTACATTACATAACCTAATAATGAAAAAGTACTGGTTAATAATATCTTTTCAAAAATCTTTAAAAAATCATACTCATGTTCTTTTTTGGTAAATATTTTTCATCAAAAAAGCATTTTCATGTGGATTTAACCTTAATTTTGAGCTAATCTACTGTGATATTTGACAGAATTGATCATTACAAAGTTTTTGTTTTGAGTAATTTCTCTCGCTCTCTCTCTCTCTCATCCTCTTAAAAAAATGTTAAAATTTCCTTGTTTTCTGCCGTGCAATGATGGCCTGGGTGTAAGATATCTGGCTGATGTCAAATCAGTCAGGTTTCGATCTCAGCTTGAAGCAATCAGACATCTAGCCACACTGAGGAGCTGTGATACAGCAAAACAGCCTGTCTGTGGATGACTATATATATATATATATATATATAATACATACATTTTGATTGAAATTTATAAAATCTTTCTTTTATAAATCAATTATTCAGGAAAATCAGTTTCTTAAGTCCAGTAGCTGTTATCCCACTTTCTAGTACTGATAGGAGTTTCTTTCTTAACCTTTTATTTGAAGTAGTGTGGAATTTGAACATCTTGATTTTGTCATTGTTCTCATCAAGTTACATGTGCTATCCATTTTAGTTGTTGCTGCTGTTGGTAATACTCAAGTGGTGGTTTCTGTTATATGGTACAGTTCTTTGTTTGTGAATTTGTATTGCCAGTCCACAATGTTCAAAGAACATTGCCAAGAACCTCAGAACCAAGAACCTCAGGCTTCACTCACTCAAAGCCTTTGTTTTTATTCTTTTATCCATAAATTAACTACTTTTAAGTAGTAGTTACTAACTATACATTCTTCCTTCTCTTCTTTGTGTGAACATTAACATATGTCATGTTGTTTGGCATCTGTCACAAAACAATGGTTAGCAGACTGGTCTCATAGACACTTGGTAGGGTGGTGAGTTTGTTCTTTATAGGTGCACTTCTATGACCCTCTGACCCTCTGATTATGCAACAATCAGTCAGTATTTATCACATCTTAAATAACTTTTATTATCTATTATGTTAAAATAAAGAAAACGTTGTTTATTAAACTAAAAATAGTTTTTATCCTCTTCAGTCACATCTGGAAATTAGATATCATCAAAATAAAATACTTTCATCACTGTTATTTTATTCATAGTACTATACATGTTATTAGTCCACCCCATAAAAATCAATTTGTTATGGAAACCACAAGCTGCACCAAATGTGGTGAGGCTGTGGTCCTAGACCGCAAAGGGGACTCTACAGGAGTAACAACAACATGCATGTTGTTGTTATAGAAACACTTATTTTTATTATTGTTTAAATTTATTTCTGGGATGCTGTTCAAATTTCTGTTATCAAGTTATTGATGGGTAGAAATCTAAGATCAGCAGGTTAAATTTAGTGTCTAAATTATGTATATTTGGTCAAAATTCAAGTACACATATGTATGGACACCTTTCATACTCACTGGAGCCAAACATTTATTATCTTGCAAAAAATAATAAAAAATATTGTCAAAACAAACCTTTTCTGTGTTCTTCAATAAAAAATGAATGTTCTTCAATGAAAAATTACATTGTGTGCATGTGTATATATATATATATATATATATATATATATATATATATATATATATATATATATATATATATATATATATATATATATCCATCAAATAAATTTGATTAAAAAGAACCTGACAAAAAGTCTGTCTGTTTAATTTTTTTATTATACTTTTCCAACTATTGAATAAGATGTTGAGTATTATGTTTGAAGTTGTGAATATATATATATATATATATATATATATATATATATATATATATATATGGCCTGATGATTGCGTCTAGCATGAAACAGCCTGTTACCTCTAAGTGTTGACTTCAATGTTCACTTATATATATGCTGGTATTCTTTTTTCTGTGCATGTCAATATGAGAGTCATGTCTTGCAACAGGTGGTTACAAAATAACATTTGAGAAGCACGATGAAAATTTTTTATTGAAATTTGGATTTTACCACTGTTTCTTTTCAACATTGCCTCAGAATTTTTTTCTAAAAGAGAGATAACCAGAAAGACTAAATACCTTTTCCTGTCAACAACTTGTATTGTCCAATAGTCATAATTAATGTCAAAGAAAGTGAAAGTTCATGATGCTTTTCTGTTTTAAAGACCTGTGGACAATTAGTGAAAAGTTAAATATTTTATAGATGATAGTCTTGGCATATGACCTGTTCAGTGTAGATGTCTCTTTTTAAACATGGCTACTATGCCAATGATTTTTGCTATTTTACTTTCACTATAAATTATTAACCACTACTGGTAAAATCTCAAAATAGTAAAAATGTATATATTGCTGAATTTTTCTAAAATAATAGTAATATTTATATAAATAATAGCATATATTTATAAATACTTGACATTTTTTGTGTTTCTACACATTTGAATCTTAAATATCTTAAATCACAAACTGTGTTTCTCACCTTTGAACTCATCTTTTTGTCCATAATGAAAACTGTCTTCAACTCTAATCTGTTTAAAATTCTTTTTTAATTGCATTTTCAGATCATTTATTTAAAAATGACTCCAGAAGAAGCATATCGACCATTAGTTAATAATAGTATGAATCCTCAATATATACCATTCAGGTATGTACCATCAGCATTTCTTTTAAATTTGAAATTGCATAAATTAATTTTTTTAATATAGAGGGATGTGATGGATAAATTATTGCCATTTTGTATTTTTAATTTTGCGCATATGCATTGTTTGTTTTTGATTGTGTCAACTGCACAGTATAATAGGGTCAGTTGAGCATCATCTGTGTAAAAAAAGAGCACTGTGATGCATTTCACTCCACCAAAAATTTGGAAACAACATGCTGTACTATTTAGCATTTGTGCCAGGATCTCAAATATGAATATATCCATGTGTTAGAATGCAGAGGATTTGGAAAGTGTTGGATGAGTCTAATAGTGATTACAAATGTGTTTGAAGTGATCATTAGTGATGGCAATGTTATGCCTCCATTTATCTTCCTACAAGGCCTCAGACTCAACACAGAGACCTACATCAAGTGCTTTTAGGAGGTAGTGCTGCCCTGTGTCAAGTGGGTGGCTGCTGGAAGACCCTATGTCTGGCAACAGGACTCTGCACCATTCCACACAAACAATGCAATCATGGCTGTCAGTTTCTGCAACCGCATTAACCCTTACATCTGGCCACCTAACTCTTCAGACTGCAACCCCCTCGATTATTATGGGTGGGTGGAGTTGAGCAAAAGACCAACAAAACTCCTTGTAATAGCAAAGATGAATTGAAGGCAAGGACTATGACAGCATTCACCAACTTAATCAAGGATACCATCCAGAAGAGATGCAGGAGATTCCAAAGTTGTTTTGGAGGCTGTGGTTAAAGTGAATGCCAATTTTATTAAATAAATTTACTCTTTAGTATTTTAAGATATTTTTGTGTAATTTTGTTAAATATATCTGTTAAAATGAGATGTTGGTGTTATTTTCATTTTTTTTTTTTTTTTGTGGGGTGTAATTTAGATGACAATTTATCCATCACATGCTGTATAAGTTTAGAAGCAAAAAGTATATGTGAATCTAGTCAAGTAATAGTAATAGTTTTGTAAGTTTAATAATAATAATAAATATATATATATATATGTATATATATATAAGGATATTCCCCCAGCTTTTTCCTTTGCAAACAAGTTGCAGATATGACATAAAACAATTTTTAGTTGAACATTCTAGCTTCATGAAGTATAGCACAAGTGAATGTGATTAAATTACTTAAATTAATGGTATAGTTTTTCAGGATGTGATGTTTTGGTGATTACAATGAGAAAGCAAGCAATGTTTTTTGCTGCTGAAAGAAACCATTCTAATTTCCTTCTTTCAGAAAGAGTAGTTGTGTGCCATGATCATTAAGTTTCTTTTTTAAATAAGTTGTTAAAATACACTCAGTTATTTACATTTATATAATTATTCCAATGTAGTGATTTTCAACAAATGACCAGTGATGAGAAGGAGGGAAGAGGTCTATGACTTTTAATTAGCTTATCTAGCTAGAACTATTAACCATTAATTACCAGTTCATTCTCTTTAAGATCAATTGAAAGCAATAAAGGTCTGTTATCTAAATGATTAACTTTCCAAAAGTGGTCAGTGGTGCATTTATTTGAAGCTGGATTTCAGGTGCTTTTGCATTCCTTCTGATTTCTTGAGTCAATTCCAATGTATTCATGTAAGAGAAACACAAATTCTTCATAAAGAGCTGATGCACAAAAAAGACATAGCATTTTGATAATGACTTTGGAGTAGCTGTGTTAGTCAGCAAAACAATTTTAAAAGCAAGTGTCAGTCACTTGAACTATGTTCTTACTTTTGCAAACAGACAGCACTTAAATAAAGTAGACATCATTTAACAAATCCATATCAAGAAGGAAAATAGAAATTCAAGCCAGCAAAAGGCAAAGAGGAAAATTGTCAAATGCTTTGCTTTTTTGAAACATTATTGGTTGGTTGACCTGTATAATATCTGTAAAGTACCTAAAAATTTAGTAGATGGCATATTACATTTTGATATCTTGTAAGCTTCAAACTATTCTGATATTGATTCTATATCATCATAAACAGTATTCTAATGATCATATGGTTTGCTGTCTACCGAGTACTTTGATGTTCTTTATACTGTGGACAATCATACAAGAAAAATGGTGAGGCTCTTTGTATAGCAATCTTTAACAATATGGTATTTGTCAAGAATGACTTCAGATCATAGTGACTGAGCAGTGTTATCTTTTTATCCAAATTAATTTTCTCTTGGAGTATTTTGCAAAGATTAGAGGAGCTGCAGTCTAATAAGTTTCTCAATTTAAGTTAGGTATCTCCACAAAATCACTAAAAAAAAGAGCATAGTCTGATGAAAAAGACGCCAAACTTTATGAAAACAAAATTTTATCGTCTAAATGCTTATGTTTTTATGAAGAGGAAAGACCAAAGTTTTTTTTAATTATTTTTTAAAATTTTTCTTTCTTTTTAGAACATTCTAAATTTCGATTAAAAAAACCTTGTTTCTCTTTGTACCAATAGGGGCTAGTAAATAACATAGATAATTTTTAGCACGTTTTTTTTTTGTATTACACACATTAATTTGGAAAATCTTGCAAAAATAAAAATAATTGTCAGATGTTAATGAAACTTTCAGAAACTATTCACAGATGATCGAAATTATTATAAATATGTTTTTTTTTATTAAAGTCATGGCAGAAATATTTTTTTTTATATTTATTAACACCCCCATAACTAATTTTATGAAAAACTCTAGAAATTCAAGTGCATCAACTTTAGTGATTACAATAGTTAAAAGCACAAGGCTTTGAAGAATGCAAATCATGTTTTTTTTTTTTTAATTGGATCCGTGGTACCTGAAAATCAGCTCTGAATTGTAACATACAAAACTCAATAAAACAAATATATTATTTAATTTCAAATGCTTTTATTTGTTTTTAGTTGTTTCTATGAATATGGACAATATTTTCTGAAAGCAAAAATTTTTTTCAATGACAATTGAATTTTTAATACAATTATTTATTTCTTTAATTTTAAATAGATTTTTAAAAATTTTTTACATTGAATTTTTAAAAATATTATAAAATTAGTTAAAAGCAACGTCAACTTTTCTAATTGTCCTTATGAGATTGTCATTGTCTAGCGCTTTGAAAATTGTATAATTTGGACCAATCAGAAGATCCACAGTAATTAAGAAATGTAATTTTTGTGTTTATAATCAGGCAGTAATTATCAAGTACGGAAGACCAACCAGAATACAATTTAGTTGCATTATTCGAGTTCAGCATTGTTCTCCGTTGTTAAGGCCTTTACTTTTGCGAAACACGTATGGAGAAGTTAATTTGAGTTTTCAAATTCAACTGAGAAGGGTACCTACAAGTATCAGTATCATCTTATGAAATTTAACTACTGCTAAACTTTAATTTATATGATCTTATTTTTATATTAACCTCAGTTATGACATTTTTCCATAAATGAAATATCAAAATTAATAATAAAATGAATGGAAATACAAATAACACAGTAAAATGTAATAAATGTACATAAAATTATAGTATTTTATGTACACTTCTGATAAAATTTCATAAGAAAGGTACCTATAAATTAATATTAGATACCTTTTTCTTATGAAATTTAATCTCACTCTTAGTCTTAACAGTCTTATTTTTTAATTTCTTTATATTTTCCATAAAGCATCGTAAACGTAAAGATGAAAGCTAAGTACAAAAAAAAATTAAAAAATTAGAGCGCTGAAAGTTTTCCTTAAAAGTAATGAGGTAAATAATTTGTTCACTTAAATCTAAATGATTTCATTTCCTTCCATCCGTAGAAAGAATTATCCTCCCGTAAGTTATCTAAACGTCATGAAAATGTCTTTCGTCACTTGTCAAATGACGCGAATGGTTATGACCTGCTTTGTTTTATTTTGAAATTACATTTTTTCGGCACAGAAGCTAAGTTAAGCTTGGTTCAAAATATTTTAAATAAACATTATAATTTCTGATTTTATTAAAATCAGTTTTGAAAAAAAATGATAATTGATTTTTAAAAAGAATATCAAAGTCAGATTTTCATCTTTTTTTATAAAATGGAAAAAATGATTGAAAATGATTGATTATCTGTCCTTTTTTTGACAAAAAAAAAACAAGATTTTTAACTAAAAAATTTCGGATGTGCTAGGAACGATTAAAAAATGTAAAAAAATACCCCAAAAATACTTTGATCTTTCCTCTTTAATAATAATATGAACATTAGACGATAAAAACTTGTTTTCGTCAAGTTCGGCGTCTTTTTCATCATGCTATGCTCTTTTTGTTTACATTTCGTGGAAGTACCTAATTTAAGTGCTTCTCCAAGTTCTGCTAACTTATGTCCCTTTGTGGCCAGTCTTGTAGCTGAAATAGTTGCTTATTTCCTACCAGTGCCAGAGGCTTGTTAAAGATTTCAAATACTGTCCTTTCCTACTTGCAAAATTGGTGCATCATCTTTCAAATTCTAGTTTTCATTAGTTTTGCTTTATGTTTAGCAAATGTCTAACCTATTTTCTTATGAAAAGCAACTGGGAATGTTTTACTTCTTTTTCACTGTATATTTTGAGCATACCTTTAGCTTTTGAGCCTTAGAATTTTTATTAATGACTTGTTGAATTATATTGCAAAAAAATTAATATTATATCACTGAAGGCTGAACTTGAATTGAGAAATGAAAAGAAAAAAGATGATAAATTGTTATCTGAAGAAAATTTTTGATCACTCTTTTTTGTCATGATAAGGTGTTTTTGTAAATGTATTTATAATGAAGGCTAAATATAGAAATTAATATTGCTTCTCTTTCACTCTGAATATATGGTGTCCAGATTCATATATATACACTTCTTTGTTGAAAATTAATCATTTAATTATAAGTCATGTAGGTATGGAATGTGAACAAATAAAGGAAAGTCAAGATTAAGTGTGGAGTGGATGAAAAAAATCCCCAAATCAATTCTACTTTAAATTCTAACATTAAAATTTCTTTAATACAAACCTTGGTTGACAGGGATTTAAAATTTATAATAATGTTGGTTAAATGAAGTATATCATTCAACATGTTATATTTGGTATTTAGTAATCAAGTATTCCCATTGTACAATATTAATCAAGACCCTTTTAATAGTGTTCTGATCAAATATGTTTTTATTTCCCAGCTATTGACTAACATTGTTTGTCACAAGTCCTGCATTCATGAGTCACATCAACAGCAGCACATAAGAATTGATCTGAAACAGTTCCAGAGCCTAATAACATAAAGCATAATAACATTGTTAGTCATCATTGTGTTGGTTGTCACTTTTAAGCTATGGCCAGCCTGTGCATTACCAAATAGGATCTTACAGTGTCAAGCTATACCTGCACAATATTTTTTTTTTATAGTGGGTCAAACTCACTTTCTAACCATCAAAATCAATCATCCAAAAAGAAGAGAAAGTCTAGATTATCAGTTGCTAGAAAGTTTCAGGTTTTCTATCAGATTATCCTCTATTCAGGAAGAATATATATATATAAATATAAAATTTTATATATATATATAAAATATTTAATAATATAAAATTATATAATATATATATATATATATATATATATATATATATAATTGCTAGTGTACAATGACCAAACAACACCTGTCAGTTTCATGCTTTCATACAGTTGTCCAGTCAGCCTGATGATTTCATATACTGTGGCACACTTTTTTCTTTATGGTGTGCGTCTGCAGCAGACTCATTTTTAGAGCTGCTTATTTCTATTAATACATATATATATATATATATATATATATATATATATATATATATAAAATTTGAAAATCCTGGTTTTGTGCTTCAATTTTCTCAATATTAAATATATAGGTGATATAGCTGGATAAATTAACAAATAATACATAGCACTATATGCACATGTTCAAAAATAAAATGGGTATCAACAGTACTCAGATCCCATATTAGCACATTGTATATTCTTCTTGGACGTTAACACAGGCCAGTATTCTTGCATGCATATGATCATAAGGAGGGTAAATACCATTCTGTGATAAATTATTGTACACCTCTTGCAAGAGTTCCTAAGTGAGCTAACTGAACAAGTCACTTGTTATATTATGTTTGACACTTGTTCAATGGGATACAAATCTGGCAATCATGCTGCCAGGGAAGTTGCCAAACATCTTACAGGACTTGTTGAGTAACATGAGCATAATGTAGACAGACATTATCCTGCTGTAACAGGATATCACCTCCCTGTTGCAGGAATAGCAGAAGAACAATTTTCTGGATGTACATGACACTATAATTCTCCCTTCAAAAATACCAAAGGTGAGTTTGTGTTGTAACTTATGGCACCCCATGCTATGATGTCATAGGTCAGCCCTGTATACCATAGATGTCACTCCCCATGTCTAGATTTCATATACATCTTACTATTACCTGCTCTCATCGCTGAATACTACAGAATGCCATTTGATTCCCTAAGTGACCCTCTGAAGACATACTTGATGCTGCTGCTGTATAAATTGAAGTCTGGCTTGTAACCTGTATGACCCAAATCCTGTCAATAATTCCCAATGGTCCATGTTGGCACTCCTGAAGCCATATTTGTTCTGATTTGTAGTGTTGATGCCATTCAGTTTATCACTATGGCCCTTACCATCATACAATCTTGGTGATCATCTGTACTATATCCAGAACCTGGTCTATGAGTGTAGGAATGTTGATTTGAACACTGATGCACTACCAATGCAGCATGTTCAACATGTGCAAGAATTCTCAAAAATGGTTATCCAGCTTCTCAAAGGCTCATACCTTCTCAAATGATGGCTCTAACTTGACAAAAGGAGTATGTGTGCATCTATGTTGCACAACACCTGCTTACACTGGACTTTACATTACACTGAATATTATCACACCATTTGTCACTATCTAAAGTTCGAACACATACATCTATAGTGCACTGGTATATGTATTACTACATCACAAGATAACTGAAGCCTTTAAGAAATTTATTAGAAATTTTCTCTAGTATACACATTGTAACAATCATATGTATAATATATTTTATTTATTATTGTCATACTGTTGGATATAAATATTCATAAAATGTCATTTAATTGCTAATCATTTTTATGTTAATATTCTTTGGTTTTTCAGAGATGCTTCATTTGGTTCCAACACATTCAACCTTTATCTTCTTGATTGTCTACATGCAGTTAGCAAGGTAAGAAACTAACATGTATTTTTAATGAGAAAAACCTTAGCATTTATCTTTGATCTTTTCTTGCCATATAGAACTACCTGAATTTGTTTCCTTTCTCTTAGTTGAACCATTTTCAGCTTATAAAAAGTTACCTAATCTTTAGTAATTTGCTTGAAGTAGTGTTTTTAACTTCTTTTTCTCCTTATTAAAAGCAATATGGATTCCATGTTCTAGAAAAATATATCAAATTATAATCATAGCAACCTATATTGAAAATAGTGCTGATATGCACTCACTTGTCACTTTATTAGATATACTCTTCTATTGGATTGAACCCCTTTTATCTTTAGAGCTGCCTTCTCAATATGGATTTGACAATGAAAGCACTCTTTTGAAATTTAGGTCCATTCTGCAATTCTTCTAGATTCCTTGGTTACCGATCTTAAATTTGAATTTCCCTTTCCATGATGTTTCAAAGTTACTCTAAGGGATTGAGATCTGATGACAGTGAAGATGGCTTTAAAACAGAAAGCTCATTGCTGTGTTTGATGAAGCCATCAGCCATTATTTTTTATTTATGACAAAGTGTTATCCTGTTGGAAATGACCAGTAATGGGTTCACCATAGTCATAAACTAAGGCATGTAGTCAGCCATAATATTTAAGTAGGCTGCAGCATTTATACAATATTTTATTGGTACCAAGAGTACTAGTGTATGCCAAGAAAATATTCCTCATATCATTACACCACCACCAAGCAGGATGCATCCATATTTTCATGTTTATGTCAAACTTTTACTCTACCATCCAAATGTTGCAGCAGAAATCAAGTCTCATCAGTCCAGACATCTTTCCAATCTTCTATTCTCCAATTTTTGTAATCCTTGGTGAATTGTAGCATCAGTTTTTGACAAAGGTGATACCCAGTGTGGTCTTTTGTAGCCCATCTACTTCAAAGTTCAACATGTTGTGCATACAGAGTTGCTCTTCTCTGTTGTAAAAAGTGGTTATTTGAACTAATATTGCCTTTGTATCAGTTTAAATCAATCTATTGATTCTCCTCTGACCACTTTCAAGAAGGCATTGCCACTCACTAGAATTGTTTTCTTTTTTGGCTATTCTTTATAAATCCTGGAAATAGTTGTATGGGAAAATCCTAGTAGCTCAGTATATTTTTAAATACTCAGACTTGTCTCTCTGGCACCAATAAACAATCCAAGTTCAAAGTCACTTAAATCACCTTTCTTTCCCATATTAATGCATGAAATTAAATTCATTAGGTACCCATGACCATTTAGATTCCTATATCCATTAAATTGCTGCCATGTCATTAGTTGATCAAAAATTGCATAAAAGAGCATTTGTTCACATGTAAGTGGCCAGAGAGTGTATATCACTGATATACATAATAATCTCTACTTGATATAATTTTAGGAATTTGAGAATTTTTACTTCATATAATTTACTGTTTGATATAAAACAAATGGTGTAATGTTTACTGTTGGTTGTAGATGTTTATGGTAATTATTATATATTGAAACAATTATTTAATTTTGTATTTTTATTATTTTTTAATGATTCCTTTTTTTATCATACTTGATATACTGTATTTTATCTGACAGACTTGAAAAAAATCTGATCTTCAAATCATGCCGCATCATACATAATGAAGTTATGGTTGGGGTTAAGATTAGGATCTATAAATCTCTTCCACTGGAGTTTAGGAGAAGCTCTATAAAATTACCCGCAATTTCATTTTTCTTAAAATTTTTTTAATTTCGTACTGAATTTAGGGTGCATCTTAAATGCTAGTGTGTCTCATGTCACAAAATAATGTACTTTTGGCTCTTTGACTGAGATCACTTATCATTATTTTAATTCTTTGATTAGGTGATCATACATACTGATTCTTAATTCTATGGAAATCAAGCACAACTGAGAGAAATAAGACTGACTTATATGTTGCCATATTTTATTCAAGAAACACTGGTAATTTCAGGATTGGTATTTTTGTTCATATTGTTGTACAAGTCAGTAGAATATGGTGGTGGATACTGTGAACATATGATTTCAGAAACAAATCAGCAGATTAGATGTTATAATCAGAACATAAACTGTTCTCTTTGTTGGCCATTGATTACAATGGTAGAAATTCAAGATAATGTTTATGCTTTTAAAAATTAGTGATGAGTGAACTTTGTTAAATGAATGATTAAAACTTTTGATTCCTACTGTAACAACATGAAGGTAATAAATTTACCTCATTGTTTGTGATAGGAAATCTTGTTATGGTGTTAAACTTTTAAGAATTAAATTATTTGTGCTTTTTAATAACTTATCTGGTTAATTTTTTTACAGGCGTTAATACATGGATTTTTCAACTTTGAAACATTTGATGTTGAAGAATATGAATATTATGAGGTGAGAATTAAAATAAAAACACAAAAAAATCATTGTCCTCTAAGAGTAAAATTAAAATTAAAAGTCAACTTGATAATAAGGGTTAAAAACTTTATAATTGAGATCCCAAATTATTTTTCCTTTTGAAATAATAAAAATGTTAAATGTTTGTTGTTGAAGTCAGGTTTTCTAATTTCAAATCCCATTTCTAGCTATTTACTTATTTAATGCCAAATTTATTTATTTTATTTATATTCAGAGAAATCAATATGAACATTACTTTTTTGTATTAGTTTCTTTATAAAGAATTGAATTTTAAATCATGAGATAAGTCCCATTTTAAAAGCTTAAATTATTAAATTTAGATGAGCTATTTATTGTACATACTGAGGTTTAAAGTGACATATTTTATTTAAATTAGAGAAAATCATATCTAGCAGAATTTATTATTAAGATTTAATAAAAAAGAAAAAGTGTTTAAATGGAGATGAAAACCTGAAAAATCAGTGTTATTTGATTTTAATTTGAGAATGGGTTCTTTAAAATTTAACTAAGAAAATAGTGAAGTAAAACATTAATTTATTATTAAAAATGCCTTGCCTCAAAAATATAAATATTTAATAGTTGATATTCTATTTTTTTTTATAGAAAGTAGAAAATGGAGATTTGAACTGGATTATCCCAAATAAATTTTTGGCATTTTGTGGCCCTCACCCTAAACAAGCAAGGGAAGATGGTAAGTCTCTCTTTTTAATGAGTTTGTATTGAATGAAAGAAAAATATTTTCTATGTTTATGTGCCTTGTCAATTGTATTTTGTTGTTCTAAACAATTCTTTAGTTAAATTTCTATTAGAACACAACATATATCATAATATAATCACTAAATCTTATTTTTTTCTTTGGGGTATACAAATATTAGACTTAAGAATGTTCTAGTTTAGATTTTTTTAAGTTTTGGGTTAGTTCTTAAAGGAAATATTGTATTTTTTACTGTGGTGTAGTGGTTAGTAAGCTAGTGAGTTTGATCCTCACTGTGTGTATCACACTTTTGGCCTTGTGTCAGATTAAACTATAGTAAATTTCTACAAGACATACTTTTTCACATTAAAATGTAAGCAAACAAAATGTTCATTATGTTGGTTTAATTTTCTCTCTCTATCTGACAAATCCGACTTCAGAATTTCAAGTACATCTGTTTATACAAAATCTGATTTCATTAATGAAATGTGAAATCTAAAGATGCACGGTTCCTGAAAAAAGTTTAACTTGGCAGATAATAAAACCTCTTATGTTGTATAGTTTTTGGTTCAGATTATAAATGTTATTGTAGAAAGTGGTGATTTAATAAAAGAAAAATTCTATTTAATTCTTTTGGAAAATCTGACCAAAATTGCAAACATGATAGATTTAATCATTTCGTTAGTTTAGGCCTGTGACATCTTGTTCTGATTTTATAATTCACTTTTGTGGCAGTTTTGTTCTAAATTATTGTTAGTAGAAATTAAAGTGCATTTTTATATTCCATTCCATATGCCATGAAGAACAATTTGTGTGTGTGTATATATATTTATATATATAGCTTTAGATATTAAAAAAATGTAATCACAGTGAGACTTAAAATTATAGAAAGAAGAATATCATATAAATATTATATAAATCCTTTTCTATGTTTTAAGCACTTATTTTACCACTCATATGCTGACTATATATTAAGACATATTTTTGATCTTGTGAAATGTTTTCTTCTATGCTGAATAAATACTGCTCTGATTTATCTGCTAATCATTTGTTTGTTCATCCTATAATTGATTAATCACAAATTTTTGAGTGTATATTTTTCACTTTGAGTATTTTTCTGATGTTTGTCATCATGTTTTGGCAATATGTAATTAGCTACTTTGTATCATTGTAGTCAGGCTTGTCTACATAAAGTAGCTTTTTATTATTTTTAGTAATTAGGTTCTCCAGTCCAGGGAGATATTAGGCAATAACTTCTACCATTTGTCTCATTTTGCCAGGACACACCAAAAAGAAGCAGCATGTACACCACAGTAGCTTAGTATTTTGTATAATAATGACTGGTGAACACAACTGAAAGCTTTCTTGAAGTCTTATAAAGTTTATATGCACTGGTTGATGGTATTCTAGGCATTTAGTCTATATTATTCCAGAGAGTCAGGAGATCTGGCCATTGCAAGAATGACCCATCACAGAATCTTACTTGTTCTTCCTTCAACAATTGACTTCATCTTTCAGCCTGTTCAGCAGAACTTGCAAAACACCTTGCTGCTTTGAGTTGAAAGTAATGTGATACTCTGCTAGTTGTAATCACGCAAATTTCCTTTCATAGATTATACCTCTTGTTCAGTCTAATAGGACTTACACTGATTGACAGATTTTGTTCATCAGATCAGTCAGGTGTATGACCATATCACATTGAAACCCTGGCTCACATATGATCACCAAAGTTAAGCAGTATCAAGCCTGGTCAGTATGAAGATGGGTGACCACTTGGGAATACCAGGTGCTGTAAGCTTGGATGTGCAGGTAGTGTAATAGATAATGGCTCGAAATTGGAAATCGGACAGCTGAGTTCAAATTCCAGTCAGATTCGTTATATTCACTTATGTATCAATATCCTTGGAAAAGGTACAAATTCACCTTCCTTCCCCCAGCTACAGGTTAATCATTAGGACTTGTATCAGTAAATCACTATTATAGGTACCTTCACTAATTCAGTATACATAAGGTTTACAATGAATTTTTAAAAATGAAAACACTTTCTTGAAGCTTTCATTTTAGCTTTAATTGAAAGGTAAAGGAATTAAAATTTACTATTTCCAATAAGCAAAATAACCTGTGGTCTATTTCAAACAGAAATTATATTGATTGGAATTGATTTTTTTTTCATTAAAATCAATCAAAATCGCCATTTTCAACACATTTGTAAAGAAAAGTTATTTCTTGGTTTTCAAAATCTTGCAAAAATTAAAATATATATTTCTGAAATGTTATTTGAGGAAAATTAGTAAATTCAAAGTTAAATTAATCTGATTTAAAACAAATATTACATATAGCATAAAATATTATATACAAACATTTCTTAAGTAGGCCATCTTGGTTTTTTGATGTATTAATCGATTTATTTACATCTGATTGACAGACGAATATGGTGAGGCAGGCGATAGTTTTTTTCACTGTAAGTGGGGGACAATCCTTAAAACACATGACCTTTAAATACTAGATTTATCAGTTTGTACATACTTCAGAAATTCTGCACATAATCGCACATACAAAAACAAATTGAAATTCTTTTAAAAATATTTGGGGTTGTCAGATTGTAATAAGTTTTACAATATATGATTAGTAAATATAGTTTTACTTAATAATATTTCCTAAGAATTTTCTCATTGAAAATGAATTTTAAAAGATTTAAAATCTTTATAAATTATTCAATTTAAAATTGTAAAATAATGAAAACAAATCATGTAAAAATTCATTTTTTTGTTGAAAAAATTTTTTTTTTCAGACAATATTGTCTTTAATATATATTATTCATAAAAGCAATTAAAAGTTTTAATTAAATAATGTCTTAGTTTTATTGCACTTTTTTATTTTTTGAAGAACAGATTGTCAGTAAATTTGGGCTTGATTTTGCAAAAAAATTTGGTGATTTAAATTCTTCAAAGAATTCTGCTTTTAACTAATATAGTCACTAAAAATCATTATCATTGAATTTCTCAAGTTTTCATGTAATTAAGGGGCTGAAACACATGTAAAAAATATTTTACCAATATTTTCTAATAAAAGAATTTTAAAAATAATTTCATTCATTTGTGAATAAGTCCTGAAAATTTAATTAAAATCTGACAATTATTTGATTTTTGCAAGAATTTCCAAATTAATGTGTCTGTCACCACAAAAAGAGGTAAAAATTTGCTATGCTAAAAGTTAGTACAACAGCTGATGCAAGAAAAACAAGTTTTTTAATAAAAATTTTGAATGTTCTAAAAAGGAGTCAAAAATTTAATTAAATAATCTTAAAATACTTTGATCCTTCCTTTTAATAATAACATAACGATTTTGATGATAAAACTATTTTTTCATCATGGTATGCTGATTTTTTAGTGTTTTTATGGAGTTACATACACTATTGTCTCCAAAACATTCTTACAATCTAAAAATATTTTCTGACTTTAAATACCATTCAAAAAGTTGATAAGCCATAAAAAACAAATCTATTAAATCAAATCTGGAGTATTACACTTGAAATTTCACACACCTGTTTTTCAGGCTCTTGACAAATTCATTGCCTTTCGTTTGATGTTATGTCATCCATGTCGAGTTTTAAGGGAATTGTTGACTGAGATGGCAAGAGCAGATTCAGCACTTGAAGTACTCCACCCGGTGTTTATTTTGTTTGTCCTAAGTCACCAACATTTTGCCATTTGTGCATTTTATAAGTGCTTCTGTTTTGGTTAATTTGTGCATGATGCAGTACAGTGATCTTGAGTTATTTTGTCCTACTATTGCATGTTGTACTACCACACCATTCTTTTCTGTCAAGTGCTCTTTTTCCCCCTTGATAAATTTTCTTCACTGCTTTGTCCAGATCTTTTCCTTTTGACATTTCAATCTATGAGTGAGCATCTTCCTCTCATTTACTAATTTCAATGATTCATCTCCATTATACATGATTGGCTCCTCCTCTTCTATTGATTTCTGCCTTTCCACAGCCTCTTCTTACCATGTATTTCAATGTTTCCCAACTATTTTCTACAGTTGTGTCTGAGTCCAACAGGCTAAGTCAGTATGCTTGTATATTTGTTAGATTTTTTAACTTTTCTGTGGCAAAAGGATTGATTCCTTCCAACTTAGGCATTCTCTTCAATCACAGCTGCACCTTGCTAACCAGAAGTTAATTCTTCTGCTTTATAATATACATTTACCACATCCAGAGATGATGTCAACAGTTACTGATGTAATCAGTTTTGTTCAATAATCAGCCATCTGTTTAACACTATAGCTTCTTGCATATATCTGTGCATGAAGAAAGTACTGCCTACAGTGACTCTGTTGAGCTCCTGGAAAAACAGCAGTTAGTCACTCCATAATCTGCATACCCATGCAATGTAGCCCCAGTCTTGGTGTACCCATATCTAGCCACCTATCTGTACATTGAAGACACCAATGAGAAATAAGGACTCAGTCATACATTAATTAAATTTTGGGTGCTTTTTAAACTATGTTGTACATTTCCTGGTATTTTCTGAGAGAAATTACCATTTTATCTAAGGACATTGTATAATACAATGCTATTTAGCTCTCACATTGGTATAGCAAAAAAGGTGCTGTAGGATTTTCTTCTTATAGGTTGGTTATCTGCCAACAAAGAGGGATGGAAATCAAACACTAAAGGAGCTGAACACTGGATCACAACAGATAGGACACAAACAGGACTTCCACACAAGAACACCACATGTATGAGATGAACACAGCTGAGACACCAGAAACACAAACAAGGACAAACAAATTTTAAACAATACTGTGTAACATGAACAGAAATCCTTGGGAACACATGGTGATCCAATTATATGATCAACACTGCAAACTGCCAGAGTATCTTTTCAGAAAATGTGTCTGTTTTTATGGAGCCTAAAACTTTAGCGGTTGACTAGCAAAGGAATCATTTGCATAGCTAATACCACACAGCTTAGCATCCTGACTAGGTGAAGCTAGTAGACACTTTCTTTCTTCCTAACCAGATGTTCTGGGGTTCACATCAGCTCTGTCTGGCAGGGCAGCCATGTGGTATCTTTCTCCAGAGACAGCACACTAAATGTTGTCTCTTTGACCAAAAGGGTTGGGTACTGTTATCAGTAGCAATTTGCTGCTCAGTTTGCATTTCATTCCTACTACAGGTACACAATTCATAGAAAGTATAATAAAAAACTCATCTTGTGATGAAATCATAAACAATGTTTTTATCTCAATGTTAATCAACTTTTATCTTTTTTTCTAAACAAAAGTAAATTTCTACCCAATGTTCTTGATTTTTATTTTGTTGATATTATCAAATTATATTTTAAAAATACAAATTCTTTTTGTCGCCATTATTTTTCTATCACAACCTTTAACCTGTAAATATACTTGAATTGTTATTTTTTGTATAACAATAATTATATTGTCAAAACTGTATTTTACTGCCAGTAAAAAAAAAGTATATCAAATTACGTTTAAAGAAAAATGCAGGCAACAAACACAAGGACTGAATGTTTAAAGTAAGAGACTTGACTTTCAGATTATGTTGTTGGGTATCAGTTAAATTCATGATAGAAATGATTTCTTGATTTGTTTGTTTTTGTTTTGATATTTTTGCTAAAGCTATTTCATTTCTTTCAAACTATTTTAAAGGTTAATATTTTAATAAATTATAAATGGTATTATCATCATCTACAATAACATTTAATTCTGAACTTATGAATTAAAGGACCCTATTAAATAAGATCCATTTATCATAAGCACAAATTAATGATTTTTTAACTTAGCCTTTAACTTTGTCACATTTTAAAATGCTTTCTTATGAATAATTATTGCTTTTCTATATATTAGGTTTTGTGAAAGTTCCAACCATCATTTTTTGCACAATATTAGAGAAATCTTAAAAATGCCTTTAAAATTTATTTAGATCTTTATTGTTTATATGATCAGTCATCTGTAGTGTGTTGTTTATAAGACTCAAACAAAATTTAAAAGATAGGAAAAACTCATTTTCAAACTTGCAGTAAAAAATGAATTCATAATAAGGATCTTTATTACTGTTTTCATTATTTCAGTCTAAACAGAATCTATACTGATGAACAATGTTTTTCTCTCTGTTTGGGGAGATTCAAAGGGAATTACTGAAATCTTGGCAAACTGTTATCATGCAATGCTACAGTGAGCAATTGGTTTGTGTGAATGACACATTGGAAATTTTTTAAAAAATTGGTGATTTTGTGGCAATTTTTTATACTGTAAGGTAGCACAAAGTGCAAAAAAAATCATTAAAAATACTTTAATGACTGAATGATAATATTGTGAATTTTTATGAATCAAAGATTTTGTCATAAAATGTCATAAACTATTGCATTAATCTAATATCTATTCCTGCTCATTTAAAAGTTAATGTCTAATTGAAGTTAAATCCTATTTCATGAAAATTCCTGTTGATCTTATATATTGAAAAATTTTAAATCATTCAAGCATTAATTAAAGAATTTTAAAGATTTAGAAACTGAATTTTAGTTAATTTCAATAATACTAAAAATATAAAATAATAAAATTATTAAAATTAGTTTATAAGATTTCTGTAGATTCATTTTAGTTAGTAAAATTCACCAAAAAATTAGAGTTTATTAGATTTCCATTTTCTTTTTTTTGTGAGTGGGGAGGATATAAATATAATTCTGAAAGTGGTAAAGATATCTGAATGGGAAAAATTATCTATTACAGTTGTTATTTAGTAAGTATGAATTGGTTTGACACAATGCCA